TATATATATACTGTATATATATATATATATTTTTTTTTTTTCTATAATTTTTTTTTTTACCATTTTGTTCGACTCTCCCTGGTGAGTTCTGACAACAGGTGAAATCTCTGCACTTTGCTCCTGTATACAAAAACACAAGTCACTTATTTCTCAAAATAAGAATAAATAATTGACTCATTATGAGAATCCGTTGTCAAATGTTTTACAACTTTTGCGTCCAGTTGACTCTAACTCAACTAAATTATGGTTGGTGTTTATAAGCAGATCAAGTTTATATATACTTTGTATTTATACTGCCAGTAAACAGTAACATATATGAAGAATAATAAAGTGGCGTTTAATCTCATCCATGTTTGATGTTTTATTATGTCGTCTAAATTGATATAACTGACCCTCTGTTGGTGTTTTTTTCTGTTGCTGTCTCTGATTTCCTCCAGCTGCCTCAGGTTACTCTGAAGCTGCGCTCTCTGCAGCCTCATGTGCTGCAGACTGGAGTACGCCTCTGCTCGAACTTGTCGGCTCTGTGTGGAAAGATGTACCAGCAAGTCCGTTTCCCCAGTGAGCCGGCCACATCGGTCCACTGCTTCAGCTTCCCTTTCTAAACCAAAACACTCATTTAGAGATGAGAACTACTGTTCAGTGTAAGTAATCATTTCTAAATACAAGGTCAATCATATGTTAACGAATAAAACAGTTTATTATATTAAACAGGTTAAAGCAATGAATGCATGGTGAGTTAATCTTGGACATGTTTTCTTCATATTGTCAGTGTCATGTTTTGATTTGATTAGCAGCCAGTCAGAAACTTTTGACCATGTGGACACACCAGTTCTGTCAAGTTCTTTGATGAGCTCCTCCTTCATGCGCATGTTCACTGTCAGCTCGTGGATTCTTCTTGCGGTGGCACTGGCTCTTCTAACCTTCTTCACCTGCCTCTGATTTGGTTGATTTTCCATGGAATCTAAGGAACAGAAGTAGACGGGTTGAAAAACAACCAGCCGATGGGTACAATGCAGCTCCTTTACAAGCCACAGAAGAGATTTCAGAGACAAAGGCATGCTCGAAGGCAGAAATAAAGTGTACATTTAAAAGTTACCTATGGTTCGCTGTTGTACTTCTGCGTTTGCATCATGTATCTGAGCAAGTGAAGTGCTTTTGTCTTTCAGAGGTAATTTGTTCTGACGGCTGGTCCATGTTCGATTCAAGGAACGTCTGAGGTTTCATCACAAAATTTAATTAGACCCAAAATCCCAGATTACGGTACTTTCACTGCAAATTTTAAAATGATATAATTTCTGAACATACAAACATGTATCCCCTTTACGTTTTTGTTTATTTAAAAAAATCCTTCTAAGACCAACACTTGCCTGAGACTTCAGCTTATTGTTGGTACACGGACACAAAAGCTAATAGTAGAGCTGTTCTATAAAGGCTCTCACCTAAATTTGCTCCTGCCCATAACACTGTCCTCCTCCTCCTCCTCCTCTTCACCCTTCTCTAGACTGGGTTCATTACTTTCTGCCTGCTCCTTAATAAACGGACAGTAGACTTTGTCCTTCTCCTCAATCTCAGCCAGCAGGAGGTGGCCACGCATCTTGAAAGCTGCCATGACCCTCTCCAATGAATAGGCAGGAGGACTGGAGTGAATCTGAAAATTCAAACAAAAAGTACGAAGCAACAATATTTATATGTAAGATAATCAAAATGCAAGGCAGTTTCAAAGTGTGGATGGTACAACAGACAGACACAAGAACATTTACACACACAGCAGATACCTACCTTCCTAGAAGCTCTGTGCACACCGCTGTGTCTGATCAGAGGGACACTGTGAGGTCTGTTGTACAAGTACCCAGAAGTCTTTGCTTCTGTTTCCCGTGAGGTTGTGGAGGCTGTGAGTCTGCGAAGGCGATCAATCAGAATCTGTTGATTCACCAGCTGCTCCGTCTGACCAGTCGCACGCAAATTTAAGAAAAGAACAATAAAATTTAAAAAATGCCAATAAATAAGTGGTTGTTTTTACCGTAGCTTTAGCTTCGCCTCACCTGTATTCGAGTTTTTTCCTTTTCTTCTTCTAAGGCTAAAAGTTGGGTTCTTCTCTCTTGGAGAAGTTTCTCAACTTCTTTTTGGATCTGTTTGAGTTCTGCATCCTTCTCTTCTAATTGTTGCTCTTTTATACTGAGCACATCCTAAAGATAAGAAAAACAAAAAAGTGGTAACAAGAATTTTTTTTTTCTGTCTATATACAACCTGGTCTACTTGTTCGTTAATTAGCACGCTCCATGTTATTAGAGTCACAACAGAATATTTAACATGATTTATTGAAATTATAAGGATTAGCTGGTAAATCTTAGCAGAGGCTTAATTTCACTGAGCTGTAAAAGAAGGCAAGTGCCTTTTAAAACCCCTTCTTCATCTGTTTACCTGACATTTGTTGAGTTCTTCTCTAAGCTTTAAAAGGGTTAAATGGTGTGTCTGGTCTTTAAACTCCTCAGAACAGATTTTATCATTCATATGATGGGACTGACTGACATCTGTCAGTCTCTGCTGCCAGTCTTGTAGTCGCTGCTTCAATGAAGGGCTTGGAGAAGGGCCAGCCATATTTGCAAGCAAAGCTGCAGCTTCCTGAACCAAGAGGCAATACTGGTTCACCTTCTGATCTGGTTTTGAAACACTGATCTGACTGGACGGTCTGAAACCTTCCCCCTCTCCACCTCTAACACCTGCCTTCTCCCTTTCCACCTCTATGTCCTTCTCCTTGTCTTTCAGAAGTTCTCTCAGCGTCTTCACTTCATACTCCAGCTCCTGGAGTCGAGCTTCAGCAGGGTTCCAGGCATTAGGGCACGATTTGACCACTGTATGAGTAGATACTGCTCCTGGACAGTTATGGACATGACGAGCCTTTGTAGCAAACTGAAGGACGCTCAGAGTTTCTGCAACCGAGTGGTGGGAGGGACTGACACATGCCACCATCAGTGTGTGGGTGTTTCCTCCCAGAGAATCACGAAGGAGACGGGTAATCTTGGCATCACGATACGGTATATGCACACTGCTGCACCTGTTGATGCGGCGATTTCTGCTATGGTCAGAGAGGGCACGGATGACATTTCCAAGTGCGAGCAGTCCCGTGTTGATATGAACAGACTCTTTGAGTCGTGTCCCAGTGTTTCCAGTTTTCCCAGCACGTTCCGAGCCGGCTAAGTCAACCAGACAGAGTTTGGAGGACTGGGCAGACTTTAAAGAGGGGCCGTTGTTGCCGTGGCAACAGATGTTGACCTGAAGGGTGAGGATGGCATGGGAACGACTTGAGTGATCATTCATTCCTGTCGTACTGGTGTGTCGCAGGGTGTTTCCCATCTCAAAAATGCTGAGCAGTTCCTCGGCTGAAGCGATGATCATCTCTCTGGCTCCCACCACCACTGAAAACACACACACGCGCGCGCGCACGCGTACAATGAAAATCAAAGATTGACATTAGAGATGGAAAAACAGTAATAATTGTGCCTAATAAAATCATGCTGCTATGATGCACGATGGCAAAACCTCCAATTACTTTTGAAGTTACATCAATGTGAATATGTTATCATTTGCACTTCTTTGACTTTGTTATTACCCGTGTTTCCCTTTTCGTCCTCTCTGATGTGAAGCTCTTTGTGAAGGGTTTGCAGCTCCAGCAGATCTCGTAGTTCCTCCTTGTGCAGCTCCATATATGAGACCTGCACTGTGGCCTTCACACCATCACTCCTCCTCTTCTCCAGCAACAAGAACACATCCTGGGCCACACGATCAATAATTCCTCCCTCTTCACCTGAAAAAGTAAACAGTTTTGGAACAATATATATATTTTTTTGTTGGACTGAATTACATTTTAAGTGGTACAGCAATTTACGTTATAGGAAAGTAATTTAAGGGCTAATTAAGACACTTAAAAAAACAGATTAGTTATTACAAAACACACCTGAGCCTCAACATAATCCTTGTGCTTCTTTTATGTCTATTTTTCTGAATCAATCATTTTCCTAAATCTCTTATTAAATATTTTTGGGACCAAATCGTACCCTGGTTCTCCCCTCCCAGTGTGTACGTCTTGCCAGATCCAGTCTGTCCATAGCAGAAGACGGTGGCGTTGTATCCGTCCACCAGGGACTCCACCAGGGGCCGGACACCCGACTCGTACACCTCATCCTGGGTGGCGGTCGGTCCGAACGCGTGGTCGAAAGAGAAGAGGCGGTCCGAACCGAACATTACCTGAGCAGAACCGGGCACAACCCGAACACACGCCTCATGGTGGTGGAGGAGCTCTTTGGGGAGCAGGGGACGTACACGAACCGCCACCCGGACACACACTTCGGTCATGACGAGGCCGAAACGTCGTATTTTCGGAGGCGCTTCACTTTGATCCCAGTTCAGAAGCAGTTTTAAATTGTTTTACAGATAATATTCTACTGATTCATCGAGGCAGATTCATCATCTGACCGCTCCCGTGTTTTTATCCATCCTGGTCATTTCTTGTTATCTTGTTGTTAACTTTATCCCATCGCGTTTGTTGTTCCCTTTGGGTTGCTATGGATACGGCCGCCGTTGATAGCGAGGAAAACCGGAAGAGACGTTCAAGATCGTCTGCTACTCTTTGACAGAACGGTGCCGTGAAGGCAACAGCGCCACCTTCTGGGCAAGATGTTTCATCACTAATCAAATCACACTTTAAAGTGTTACATTTTATTTTGATGCTTTATTAATTTTTATACATAATGTTTTACACAGCTCGAGTTAACAAAACAACTGAGATCTCATTGTTGCGATATACAAAATTATGTAATTTGATTACAATCGGTTGGAGTACCACAATAAATGTAACAGAGTGATGCAATTTAATTAGATTAAATGTAACTGTGATCTGTTAGATACAAATATTTGAACAAAATTATTATTATCATGTTTAACTTGTCTGTTTCTATTTTATAGCTCCTGCTGTAGAAAGCTGAATGTGTGTCCAAACACTGAAGTCTAATAATTAATTTAATGAAATAGCTAATGAAATTTTATGTTACAAGCACTTCTTGTGTTTAAAATACTTTTCAAGAAGTTTGATAGATGTTAGTGTACATGTAATTAAATGTAGTTATATTACTTTAATAAAACAAATTAAATACCACTATAACACGTCTTGTACTAATAACTAATGATATTTCAAAGTAAACTTCCCAACAAATAATACATAATTGTAATATAAATTTATTTTTAGCTTCAAATAAGTCAGATCTGTTTTGTATTGTTCAGTTTTCCTGATAAATAGTTTTTCAGGCTTTTTGAAAACAAGGGTTTATTTGGACGTTTTAGATATTTAAAATCAAGTACTTCACTCTAAAAAAAGTTAAGTCTGGTCCTCTGAACATTCAAAAAACAAAACAAACAAAAAAAATTGTAGAAACATTTCGTTTTTTATCCGAAAGACTTCTTCAGTCAAGTACTTGACTATTTTCAAAGTGTCTTTTTTTTCTTCTTGTTTGCTTTGCTCATTTTCATTTGATTAATGACTCATTCAGGCACAAAAAGGCTCCTAAATTCAAGAGATGGAACATTGCTGTATGAATGACAACTTTATGAAAAAACTCTTTTAAGGTGGATTTTCTTTGGTGCCTTGTCATCTGTAGACTGTCAAAAATACATAACTTGTTCCTTTTTCTTTACTCACTTATGAAAAATAATAACACAGTTTGAGACATTAAATAGTATTTTAGCAAAAAGTTGATTCTAAAATTATTATAGGTAGAAACCTTGCCATACATGAATGCTTCTCTACTCCCATCAGGTCTTCAGTGATTTTTATCCATTTCTTACAGACACGACTTTCAGATACTTTTTATCTGCTTTTGTCTCTATATTGTTTTGTTATACATTTTGCCACTTTCCTAAATGTCTAAGCACAAACTGAATAATATGCTGACTTTGGTCAAGTACGGGGATTGAACAAAAAATGGGTGAAAAATCAGGTAAAATTGAAAGAAAAACTTTGAAAGATCGTCAAAAAGTCAGAACTGGATTTATTGATCAAGAACATTTTATACAATTTCAAGAAAATCTAGCTGCATGGGAACAAAACAGTTGGTCGATCAATAGTAAATGCAGCGTGTCAGGTGTATGGGAATGTGGGCCATCTCTTTGTGGTGCTGCTTTGCGAAAGGCCACAAATAGAAGTCGATGATGGCAGAGTTGATGTTGCAGACCTGTCCATCTTTCTCCTGCACCAGCTTACAAAGATGTTCTTTAATCAGCTCCACAGACCAAATCGAACAACCTCGGATCTCCACTTCTCTCCGGTCTCCTGAAGGCAGCAGCTCACCTGAGGAAGATAATGTTCAATGATTTAAAATGTTTTTCTTTGCAGAAAAAAACAAAGATTCGCTCCCATTTGTCCCACCGTTTTTAAGCGCCTGCAACAACGAGTCGGAGTACCGCAGTACTCCCAAGTAGACGAGCGCCTGAGGGACCCTGTAGTCTGCGAACATGGTGAGCCAGTCTATGTTGGTGATGCTTCTTTCTCCTCTGGCCTCCATCATGCCCCAGAAATCTGCCACCAAGATCTGTGCTCGCTTGTAGAAAGATATTCTCTTGTCCTGAAAAATAACAACAAAGTAAAATCAGCAGTTCAACACCAACATAAATTTATCTTTATACTTTCATTTTATTATTGCGTACTAATATAAATGAATTGGATGTGCTGCCACACTGTTTGTGGCCAGGAGGGGGCACTCTCGCGTCACAATTTATCCAAAGTTCAATGATCACAAATTTTGATCTAGTATGTGCTTTCAAAGTTTTGAATATTGTGCATATTTCTACAAAGCAATCACTTACAGGTGCTTACAAAGAAGGCTGGTAGTAGTTTCTGCAGAAACTAATTTTATAGTGAAACGAAAAATTAACGTGTACATTCAAGTAGTCAAGCATTTCATGTGCAGTAAAACGAGCTGCCCCTGTCAGATGTGAAGCAGCTGATCCGGTGAATGTTTGTAAAAAATCTTTGTGCACATGTTCAACACAATGAAAGCTGAGTCGTCAGATTTACAGAGTGCATTCTGAACTCTGACCTCGTACGTGGCTACGTCCCTGTAGGACGGGATCTTTTCTACAATAAACTCCACCATCTTCCGGGCGTCACTTCCAGCTTGGCTGATGAAGCTCTGAAAACTTCCACCGTGTTCCAGCAGCACACGGCCACCTTCAGTCAGCGCCTAGTTAGAAACATTCAGAGTGTGACGTGTTCAAATTTAGCCACGATGATGAGCAGGAGGCGACAAACCGCACACTTTCATTTTCTTTTAATGTTGGGAGACCAGTGGATGGAACACTAGAAAGTTGATAAACAAAATTATTATTGAGCAGTAATGTCAATTTTCCTTCTAAAGATAAAAATATACGCAGAAAGACGTCCACGCAGATCGCATAGAAACCAATTATGCATGAATAAAGTTGGAGTTTCATTCAAATAAAGCATCACGTGAATCAATTACTTGTTTGTTTCAGCACACGGTTCATTATCTTTAAAGTCAACGAGTTAACTTTGTTCAAAGCTTAATGAGAAAGAGATGAACTTCTGCTTTCCTCAGAGACGTCTGCTTAGTTTGACATTTACACTCCAAAAACAGCCAAGGCCACTATTTAACTGCTTTAGGTAACTTTACACTTGCATAGCAAAAACATACTAAGTCAGAGTTTGTAAAATGATTTACTCTTGTTGGCCAATTGTAAATCTTCCACTTAAAAGTTATTTAAATGAAAACTATATATATTAATGATTTTCCACACAGTTGCGTTAACTGTTGTTAGATCTCAGTCTAACTTGGGCTGAGACTCTTTAAGCACCTCGTGGTTTCAACTGATTACGATTCGGAGGGCTGTGAAGTGATTATATAAAGATTATTGATGTATTTTTTATTATTTTGAAACTTAAATGTTTGGCTTATGTTACATGAACCATCACAGATGAATACACTTCCATGTCTAATTGACAAATTCACAACAATATATATAATAAAAAAAAAAAATCATGACAGGCTACTGATCTACAATTAGCACAGATACTAATTCGACATTGAAAATCTTATAGAACTAACACAATTAGCATTGTGCTGATCACAACAAATTTATACACAAATCAAATGTTTCAAAGATGTTATGATAATTTAAGCTATTATTCAAAGTCATTTTCTTCAGGGTTCAGGAAAGAAAATATAAAAAAGATGTTAAAACCAACTTTACAGCAACAAGTTTCCACCACAGGAACCTCCATTAACTCTACCCGGACAAACAGACACCACTCTGCTGACTATTAAAGTGGCAAACACAGAATAACATCAAGAAAAGTGATTTTTGACATTTGAATATTGATTCAGAATCTTTTGTGCATGCATCTAAAAGCTAGGTGAACTACTTTAAATGCACTTGTTGAATGAACCAGAGTATTTCTGGCAGATTTAACCAAGTCCATCTTGTTTTAGTTTGATCTGTTAATAATTCAACACGTCTGACACATGCGGCATAAACTACCTGTTCAATGTTTTTTTACTGAAATGTTGAACTTTTGTAGCATAAAGTCAAACAACTCAGGTTTTTTGTTTTGTTTTTTTAAAGCTTGCTTTATGGTTTGATTAAACTGGATGAGATGAAAACCTAAATATAATTTAACCCAGAAACCACAAGTTGACTTATCCTGAAAGATCATTACAGGTTAAAAAAAAAAAATCCTCAATTTTTATGCAATGTTAAATCAACGTTATTTTTTTCAGTCTACTAACTTATGAAATCATGCTCCCTTTAAAAAGACAAACTAGATATGCATGGGCAGTAGGGCTGGGCGATATCTCGATAAAAATATCGCGATAATTTAATTTGCGATATACGATGAGACTATATCGATATAATATAGTGTTATATTTAAAAATCCGCCTGTCTTCTCTTTCTCCCATGCGGCCCCTCCTCTCCCTATCAGCCCAGTCCCTCACCTGCTCCCCCGTTTTCTGCATCTCCAGGTGGGGCGGCACCGCCGGCACATAGTAGCTACCATTAGTCATAAAATGGAGAGAGCATATACAAGCGAATCTGGTGAGCAGGAAAAAAAGTGGCTGTATTATTTGGAGATGGTTTGGATTTAATTAGTCAGACGCGCAGCAGAAAAATGTTTTCTGTAGACAATGCTGAAAACAAGTCCCGACGAAAGGTTCGAGCACAACAAACTTTTTTCACCATTTAAAACAGCGCTATAAAGTGGAGTATGAAGTGTTAAACTTTGTGTTGCAGCTCCGACTGTGAAGTCTTCCCAGCCTCCTTCCCTGAAACAAATACGATACGAAACTACCTGTGCTGTACGAGAGGAACAGTGAGAGCTGTTGCCGCCACATTAATAAAGCAGCAGCTTATCATATCGCTAAAGACACGGTTCCAGTTTCAACTGTGGAACAAGACGGCTAAAGTTAGCCATCTTGTTAGCCGCTAAGGACCGTGTCTTTAGCGATATGATAAGCTGCTGCTTGATGAATGTCACGCTACCTCTCACTGGAAGACTTGAACATCTGTAACTAGTTCTTCTTTTTTTGCCCGTCTGCACCACTAACTTGACGCAGCCCATCACTGCTGCTTCACACACGCTTACTAATGTCGTGACGGTGGCGCAGCTGGAGGATTATTATGTAATAAAAGAAATTATTTTTGAGACATTTATATTGTACTTATAGAAGTTTGTTAATAAATGTGCCTGTGTGACAACTGGGACAAAGCTTTGACTCAGAAATATATTTTTATTACTTTATGGAAAGAAAAAAAAAATTGAGATATATATATTGCATATCGCGATTTCTCTTAAAGTATTGAGATATTCAATTTGGTCCATATCACCCAGCAGCCCTAATGGCCAGTGAACCTCTCCTCAAACATCCTTCTACTGTGTAGATATCAGAACCTGGTGGCGTTCCCGCAGCATCGGCATGGCCGTTTCATTGTCTGATCGAAGGACGCGCCCCAACTCCTCCATGCTCATCTGGGAAAAGTACTTTGGATCAGTAATGGGTAGACCTGTAGAGGGTGGAAAGAGAAGCTAAAGGAGCTAATGCAGAGGACAGACATATTCATTTATTGTAAAGTGCAGAGTTAAAACAAGCTGTAAAGTTCCACAGCCACCCCCCCCCCCACACACACACACATTAAGACTTAGAGAAACTAATTTGTTCTGATCTCAGGCAGTCAGCTCATGAGATTCACACTCTGGAGGAAAGCTACCTGTGTTGTTCTGAGAAAATGCGTTGTAGTTATAAAGGGCACAGTGACAACAGCGAGAGCACTATTCCATGGGAGACATAACTGATTCATATCCGGAGTCATTCATGCTAATTATAAATGATGCTCAGGCTCACGCAGAGCTACAAGCAATTTCCCTCAAATCCAAGCTCAAGTAAAGGGCACACACTCAGTAAGTGTCTAGAATAAAACCACACAGAGCAGCAGGGTAAAAACAGATATCAAAACATGCATTTTGCTAATAAGTAGAGCAAGCAATGACAAAAGAACGTCAGTTCATGAAAAGGCTAAGATGCCACGTACTGTAACACTGTTAGACGTTCTGCTTCTGACACACCGCTTGAAAGTTATTTTTATATTTTCAATGTCGACAAATCGGATTCACTTATTTATAAAAAATGGAGCGCAAAGTCATAAGCAAACAGGCCCATCGCGCAGTGATAGGCAGAGCCTGCCGAATAAAAAGACACAAAAATGATCTTATGTTTTTGATTTACACATTTGTTCTGCTCACCTTCTTCCATGGCCCTGCTGATAGATGCACACAGGGTCATGTAGCCCGTGTAAGTCGTGCCTTTATAGGTCACCTCACACTGCTCCGTTTCCTTCTCCGGCCAAAAAGAAAAGTTCATGGTGTCCACCACAAACACCCAGTTTAATGCCTGCAATGTGAAAATACACCAAATATTAAGAGAGGGACACGAGTGCTGCAAATATAAGCTTTGGAGCACTTAAAACAGAAAGATTGACCTTGAAAAAGAAATGTGTTTTTCTGTTTATTTTAGTAAGTTTTGCTTATTTTGTCAAGATAAGTTACAAAAATGTAACATTTTGGGCAGCTAAGTTCACAAAAGGCTTCTTACGAAGAATCTGACACGTCAACTCAATCCTAAATGTAATGATTATTATAGTTGGTAAAATAAATGGTAATGATTTAACCTGCTTTGTGATTTGGATTAAGAAAACAGAGCAAAACATTCACTAATCAGTTTGAGTCGAAGATCATTTACTCAAACGAGCCAGTTTTATCCTGCTAACGATTAAACCAAAACGTCTGAAAAAATAATAATTCAAATGAAAATAAATTCCTGGCATGTTTGCTCAATGAATTACATTTTATATCACATCATTTAAATTTTCCTTATCTTGTTCAATACTTAATCCAGACTGTGATATACGTATTTTATTTTAACGAACTGTGACTGAAATTCAATTAAACAGATTTTATGTTAGGGCACAGAGATTTTTTTTTTTTTTAATTAACTACAGCTCTATCTTTGGAAAGTTTTTTTTTTTTTTTGTCTATTAGTTTATGTCTTTTCTGTTTTGTCAAATATCCATATTTCTGTATACTTTACGATATCATAACTAATATGTCATATTGTTCTATTAAGAAGTTTAAAAGGTTTTACGATGGAATGACATCGTCAAACAAATGATTATGGTTCAATACTCCCGTTTTCTATTCCACTGGACAAAAACAGCTCCTTTACAATTCACATGACATGGAAATAATTCAGCTCTCCTGATATTTTCAACTCCCCTGGTCTGAGGTGGGGGCTGGAGCCAGTGGATTTGCGTTCTTCCATCCACTGGCGGTCAGAGCATCGGTGTGTCTGAGATCATAGAGCGTCTCTGCCACCTTCTGCACTCCGGCGTCCTCGATAAACACATCTCGACTGCGCTCTGCTACGAACCGCCCGGACTCTCTGGGTAAGAGAGGTTTGTCCATGATGCGTGGAGCAGAAAACAACTGGAAACGACAAAAAACAAATAATTTCTAAACCAGTAAATGGGCGAGTCTGTGGAATTAGGCATCAAAATAAATATGCCTCCTGCCATTTACAGACTGATTAGTGTTTCCTAAATAACACAGTTCAGGTGCAGCTTCTGTGATCCTCTTTGGGATGGAGGCTGAGTGATTTGAACGGCTGTGACCTTTTCTTTCTGAATCTTCAATAACCTTCGATGACCTGCAGTACATCTCTGAGGGAGTGCCATTTTCTCCCTGTTTTAAGCAGGCACAACAAGAACCCAGGCGCAGACAACTACGGCGAGCATGTGAGGAAACTAGGGCTTCACAAAAACAAAACAAAAAAAAAAAGTTTGATGTGTAATTTTTTCCATTCAACCTTTATTTATACAGGTTAGTCTCATTGAGTCACGAGGACTCATATTTTTTAATACTGTGATATTGCAACCTACATATTCCTCATTTCTGACGTTATCATCTAAAACAGTGACAATCTGTTGGACTGATCCAATATTAACATTCAGTACATGAATGAATGGTTCTTGAAATATACAATAGTCTATCAGAAAAAATATGCCTTAAGCAGTGTTTTGTGATACTGATGACATATTGTGCAGCCCAGAAGAAACCATATATTTGTTTTTAAGGTAAGAAAAAAGGGAGACAAATTAGGATGCAACACCATAGAGCTTAAGCAAATAAAACTAAAAATGACAATGTGCAAGTGATTTAAAACCAACATAATGTGGCACAAGACTACCAAAGGCCTTTAGACAAGATCAAAATACTGAAACTTTGTGACAAATTTGAAAAAATTATGACAGTTGCAGATCCTTAAACACATAGTACTTAGAATTTTATTTTTCAGATTTGATCTTTGCCCGGGATGAGTGACCTTTCAACACACATAGGGCCTGCCATTTTATTTTGTTGTGCAAAAAGGCATAAATAAGAATTGTTAAAAAAAAAAAAAACGGTAAGAATGACAAGCTTATTTATGTCACCTAAACATCTAAAACGAAAGTCAGCAGAGCTTACTCCAATAGAATGTGGACTGGGAAGCAGCAGTCTTGTTCGTGTCAATCAGCATATTGTCATGCTGCTTCACTGCAAACCTGTCTGGATCGGTTTTTTGTTTTATCAAAAATTTCGGTCACGTTAATTTATATGAAACTTACTGTTCAGCTGAACCACCAGAGCTGTGTGAATCAGGTGCTGTGCCGGGAAATTTTAGAGAAAAGCAACGATATCGACACGCGATTCTTCACTTCCTGGTTTTTAGCTTCTGACCAATCAGAGCGTCGATGGCATACTCGTCACTGGCAGATCAACGAATCACAGTAAGCCGCAGGAAAAAGGGGAAATGGTGGGCACGAACTGTGAACTTTGCTGACAAATTGATTCTCGCCTAAAATTTGATTGTCAGCGAAACACAAACCACAAAAACCTAAAATGAAAAAACCTCAAGAATGTTGACAAATTTGCACTAAAACCATTTCTCTTACAGCCTTAAGTCATTAAGCAAATCACTGATGTAGCTGCAAAATCCAAAGCTTCATTTTTCAGGTCACTCATTAAACATTCAGCAGTATTCGGTAAAAAGTGGCATCATCTTTATTCTCTTACATGACAACGTAAAACCAACAAGATGTACAGCAAACTACTTTGGAGCACAGGAACTCACAAGGACAATGTAGAGTTCAGTGTTATCAAAGAAACAAAAACAAAACCTTCAATTTTAAGCTAAACACAGATGTTTACATTTAGAATAAACTCAAATGATTCAGGTTTGTTATAGAACTATCATAATACAAATTAGTCCAACCTGTATCTCATGTACACAACCCCAAAGCATGGCAAGATCTTTTTAACAAGGAGAAAGTTCCTGGAGCTCTTAAAAAATGTAGAAGAAACCTCTTATAAACTGAATGTTGCACAAAGTGGTTGTTGAGTATAAATGCATGTGAAAAGACGATCCACACACAGACGTGCACACTGGAACAGATTTACACATTTAGTCATTAAAAAGAACGTTAAAAAATAAATGTTTATTTTTATTTGTTGGAGGTCTGAAATATTTTTGTTATATGAGAAACACAAGAAAGAGGGGAAAAAAGCAAAACCTGGCAAACTATATAGGATTACACACTTTAAAATGCAGGTGATCTACATTTTCTGATGTACAGGAATGTTGGACATTTCTTTAAAAAAAAAAAAAAAAAAAATACAAAAATAAAATTAAAGAAAAAAACAAAGAAACAAAAAAACCACACCACCAATCCAGATTAATAGTCTGAAGAGAGAACGTTTTGGACCAGGGGAAAAGACAGAAGATTCTGAGGAAGTTCAATCAGAGTCGTCTTGCATCTGTGTCTACAGCAAATGGCCAGAGTACTGCTTCACACTGAAAATAAATAAATAAATAAATAAATAACTCTTAGCTGGAAAGATAACATTTCACTCAGTCACAAAAGAATACAAGTAATTACACAGCTATGCAAGTGTGGTAGGATGAAGATCTGAGAGAAAACAATGCGTAGCAAAGGGCACAGACAGTGAGTGAGGAAGACAGGCAAGTAGAAAGGGGTGAAGATATAACGGTGACTGAAGAAAAGAGGTGGTTAGTCCTTGTGTCAAAGCAGGTGCAGCACACTGAAAGAGGAGGCAGGAAGAGGAAGGTAAGATAGTTACCATGGCGACACTATACTACTCATGAGACGGAGCGGCAGGTCTACAGGTGTATTAGCATCCGGGGAAAGCTTAGATGGCATCAACAAGGAAGTGGTGTGTATTATACGTGCCTACTGGTTGCCAAGGGAGACAGAAGAGGAGGGGCCTGTGCTATTTGGCAGACTGTGATTTGTTGTCAGTTAATCTAACTAAAAACAACAAAATCACTAGTCTTCCACACAGCAGCAGCCAGGGGAAGAATCAATCCACTCCCTCCTTCACAGTGAAACGGCTTTGATGGCAAAGACATTCTGTTCTCCGTTACTTTTTAAAATCATATTTAAATGCAAGTCAAAGCAAATTGTCACTCTCAGTGACAGTTTAGGAAAACGTCCAATAAAATGTGTCCATCAAGCATGCCTACTCCTTCACAGCCATTTCATGTAAGAGGAAGGTTTGAAGTAGTTGAAGGTTGCATGGGGAAGAAAGGAAGGGAGTTAGTGAAGAAAAGACAGCAGGCAAAAAAACTCCATAACCCCAAAAGAAAAAACTCGTTAGGATGTAGTTTTTAATAGATTTGTCAACCAAATCTATAATTTGTGTGCACATGTTTCAAAACAATCAAACTAAGATAGAAGTATTTTTATGTTTACTACAAGTCAATTTTTGAGTGCTTTTACAAGCGTAGATCAGATTAAGCAACTCATACTATTTTATGAAAAAAAAAAAATTTAATTCACACAGATTAAAGGGAAACAACCAATTATAAAAACACTAAGGAATTTGATATTTCTTGAGACAATCAGATTAATAAAAATCTATCATTGCCAAATCTATCTACCATTTCCAAACTTGCCTGTTCTGCAGAAGATACTGAGCGTTCTGGATCTGGTCCTGGGTGCCAGTAATGGTAATGATTCGGTCCTCTGAACCTTCCAAAGGTTCATCAATCTTTATGGACGCCCCCGACTCATGACGGATCTGTTTGATCCTCTGGCCTCCTTTACCGATGATGGAGCCAGCCAACTGTAAAGGAAAAACACAGAAGGACAAAAAGCAAGAAGTGATGAGAAGAACATTGTAGGCACTCAAAACATGCGCTGCTTTGAAAATGTGGAAGGTAGCACACCAAACCAAAGCAAACTTGGACTAACACGATAATAAAAATAACCTACTTGAAGCACAAAGAATAGAACACACAACAATAATATATAGTGGTAAACCAATGTTTTAAGTTAGTACAATTTCAGATTATGAGTGAAGAAAAAGATTTCTCTTTAACCTACTAGATGTTGATGTTAATGTATTATTGTAATTTCTCTTTAACCTACAAGATGTTAATGTATTATTGTAATTTCTCTTTAACCTACTAGATGTTAATGTATTATTGTATTTACTCACGTCTTTAGGGATCGTCACTTGTGTTGTGATGACGGGTCCACCCATGTCATTATATGAGCCACGACCCCCTGTTGGCAAGACCGAAGGAAAAGATAAAACCCAAAGCTAATGTAGAACATTAAACTGACAAAAAACACAATTAACAAAAGCTTAATTGAAGTACAAAGGGTAGTACAAATTACAAAGTTGTAGAAAATAAAAAAATAAATAAATAAATAAACCAGAGATGGTGATGTGTTCAAAAACAAATTAATGTATATATATAAAAAAAAAAAAAAAAAAAAAAAAAAAATCACATAAAATGGTTTTCTTTTCCTCTGTTACTTTTAACATCAGCCACCATTTATGGATTAGTATCAGCAATGTTGGTGCTCAAAAAATCTGTATAGTACCAACAAGAGACTTGGATGTGGAGGCTCACCTGATTGATAGCTATCCCAGGATGAACTGTTGTCTGAGCAGGGAAGAACAAAATGCAATAATTCAATATCAAGTTAGTCTGTGATAAAAGATCCCAACCACCCAACTAAATACAAATAAACTGTAACCTGCTATAAACCTGCAGTTTATAAACGGTTTTCTTTGCAGTCAAACTTGACAATACATTTTAATAATCATTGCCGTTTTAAACTGTTTAAGCTACAGACTGTCTTTTTGCCTGCAACTACAACATGATGGAGGGAGCTTTAAATGCATGTATTCCACACACAGAAGAAAAAAAATAATCTGTTCTGTACTCACCATATCCACCACTCTGCAAGAAACAAACAATCATATTTGTTAAAGCTGGAACAACACATTCCTTCTAGTCTTCCTAAAATCCAACATGAGAAGGTTGCAGATTGTAGACAAATGTGTGGGTAATGCAGCAGCATCGCTCAGTGTAGACTCAACTAAAAGCCACCCAGATTTCACCCATAACAGACTCCTCCTCCTCCCTCCCTCACCCCTTTATGTCTCTTCTTGCATCTTCATCAGCCCCCCATTTTCAGCTGCTACTGTTACCAGGGCAACAAGCAATTCAAATAGCTGTTGCTGAGCAACGGCAGGCAGTATCCTGCCAGGTCTCAGGGAGGGAGAGAGAAAGAGGCAGAAAGACCTTCCAGTCTATCAAGAAAGCATTATTAGTGCTTAGCAACCAACCATGGCCACCCCTACCCTCCCCACTTCCAACATCCTCTCAGTCTTTGCAGAAAAAAAATAGGCTGGCCATGAAAAGTACACAGTAAGAGGGCAATTACTGCTGGTTATTATGGGGTGTCTCTGGCTGGGGTGATTATGGTCATTTGGTAGGATGGCTTACACCATGCAAAATCTGGAGTGGATTCATTGCCAGGGCTCAGATGAGCATATGCACAGATATGGTCAAGTGATCAGCTATGTAGAATTCTCAATACTACATACAAGACAGACAATGGACATTCAGCATAATGTCTACAGCTAGGACCAAACAGTATGACCGTCTGAGAAGACTTGCTCCTATTTAGATGCTACTGCAAAAGCTGAATGTATTTAGCAAAGGGTCACCAACCATGCTATCGCTATAGCGATCCGGTCTGCCTCTTCTGTCACTGGTGATGGGGAGGGGAATACAAGCAGAGTGAGAACCAGAGAGGAAAAAGATGTGGGTTGGAAGAGAAAGAAATAGAAAATGGTTAGAAAAAATCTTGATAACTATCCACAAAAAAATTCTGGTCTAGGTCAAACTGCACACACACGCTGAGCAAGATTACAGTATAAACACATTTTCTCTCAACCATCTTCCCACACACTAACAGGAACAGCTCTGACAGTGTTATGGTGAGAGGAGTGACAGGTGGTGGTGATTCTGATCAGAGCCAAGAGCTGCTTGTGCCGCTCCCCAAAAGACGGAGCTCAAATAATGGAATTAGCTGCTTTAGGAGTTACACTGTAAGCTTTTTGTTAATAGAGAATATGCATACGTAGACATGAATTTCATGCAAAACTTAAATCTGTGATGAAATTTGAGTTTTATGTGTTACTGATTTTTCTTCAAGACATGTTGTACTGCTACTGCTAGTTTTGTAATAAAGTAAGCCAAACGAGAAACTTTTAAATGTTACCTTATTTTATTAGTTTTAAATTCAGTTCCGCTTTTAAATTAGAAAAGCAACCTACTAGTTTCAGACACATCTTTAAACAGCATTTAACATTCAAAATGTAAATGGAAACATCATTGCAGGAAAGAAAAAGTACTCAACTAGATAGAACAGGAACCTGTGACACTACAACGTTTAACAAAATGGTTGGAGGTGTTGACAAAATTGTCATGCAATTCCAAAGTTGAAGTGTTTTATCATAAAAAAAAAAAAAATAAATCTAAGAATGGGTGAGTAGTAGACATATCAAAACAACTGTGGCAATTAAATTTTTTTTTTTTTTTAGCATTTTTAGAAACTGGCAAAATCTTCAGATTTGTGACAAAAAATTATGCTGAATGCCTCCCAACACAAAATATTCCTAAAAAGAACTTTGGAATAACATGCAGTTTTACAGAAAAAAAACTTTCAATTCGGTTTATACATATTGGTCTTTAAGGAGGACTGACTTATCCTGTGACAAAATCAAACAATAGTAAAATGGCAACTCATGTCAGGTTTAAGGACAGAAATTTACCTTGACCTTTCATCAGAGCCACGGTACGAGTCATAATAACGCTCATCTCGGCTGTGGAGATGAAAAAAAAGCATAACATAACCAGACATTCAGTGATGAGCACATACACCTAAATGAAGTCAAACATGAATACGTTTCCACACGAATGTAAAATATTAAACTCATTTTGACCTGTGCAAATAAAAAAATTCTGGTAAATTTAAACAGTTAAATCTGAATGGAAATTAAAAAAAAAAAAAAAAAAAAAAAAAAAAAGGATGTTTACATACAAAAATGTTGGAAGTAAAAAAAAAGTGCTAGAGTTGTGAAATATGTCTAAAGAAAAAAATGATCAATTCATGGTGGAATTCATGATGCCACTAAAATATTACACTACGTTTTACAAAGCTTTTGATTTTATTATCTGTATTATACACGGTTTGTTCTTATTGTGATAATCACACCTAAGGAACACAACCCATCGAAAAAGAACATATTTTCTGTACAAAATATTTAAACAAATCGTTCAAGAGGAGAAAATGCCCAGACAAAACGTGCGTCCTCATCTCTTACCCTCTGTACGGGTGACCCATTGGCATGCTTCGTGGACGGACACTCCCTCTGCCAACCCTATGACTATGGTGGGGTGGAGGAGGACCTCGACGGGGGCTGATATCATCGTAGTCACGACGGGAATGTGGCAAGGGTCCACGAACCCCTCTACTGGAGGGCATTCGGTCATATGAACGGTCACCACCACCACCGCTAGACCTGCTTCCTCGCATAGGGAAGCCTCCCATGGATCTACGGCCTCCCCCTCTCTCCTCAAACATCATGGTGAAACCACCATAATCATACGTTTCATCATAAAAGTTGGGGTCATAGGGCTGTGTGCGACCTTTTATAGGAGCCTAAAATGAAGGACAAAGATTCTAAGAACTTATACAAGAGATTACAAATAATATCGTAAAAAACAACAAAAAAAACCCAGCAATTAAACTAAACACTTCTTTAATGAAAATAAAACTATTAAGAAATAAATGTGTCTGATAAATGTTAGGGAGAGACGGTGTATGAATACTCGAGACGTAAAAATAATCATAGTATTATATCCTGTACATTTTATTCAATAATAACTTCAACATATGGCAAAACTTTAGAAGTACAAAACCTGGTAAAGCATAAAATGACATCTTCAAACAGTTTAAAACCTTACATTTGTGATGAGCTCCAGCATAGTTTTGATACACTCCACCACCCTCTCCATTTTACCACCAACCAGCACTACACGGTCTGTCGACTGGGGACAACACTCCTGAAACAGCTTGATGCTGGTCTTTGTTTTCTGGAGACAAACGGAAGAAAGGCCCATGAGTGGGCAGGAATGGGTCGGGACCAGGAACCACTATGTCCTAATCACAGTCAGGTTAGAAAATGCAAACTAAATATAAAACTGATTACTGGTATTAATTTTTTTTTTACATTTACATAATGTCTCCAAATTAAAATACTTTCAGCCATTAGAAGACTATGAGAATGCATCTGCAAGTTTACTTGACTGCAAAAGAAATTTAAATAAATTCTCCATGTGCACAGACCTCACGGAGCTCCTTGATCTTCGCTCCCTTCACCCCGATGATTGAGCCAGCCAGACTTTGGTGGATTAGCAGACGGAGCTCACAGTCAAAATCCGTTCCATTGTACTGCTGGTACTTATAAAAAACATTAAAAATCATTCATAAAACAATGTTCGGCACACATCCACAAAAGTAAACCAGTCTAATACATCTAAAATAAACATCACAACATAGAAAAGATTTTTTCAACCACCAAGTATTAAAAGAAGAACAGACTCAGTAACTATAAAAAAACAGGAAAGATCAACCAGTGCAAAGGATTTGACTTGTAAAACAGCAAGTAAACAAGAACGTGCAGTAAGTTTCACTTGAAAGCATCTCTTTAACTTGGAGCTCACCTCTTCTAATGTTGGGATAATCTTCAACAGGATTTCTCCAATAGTATCAATATCTGCACTGATGCTCAGGATTCTTCATATTTTTTAACCCATCAACACAATGGAACGCAGCAACACAGAGATGGCAGGGTTGTAGTGCCAAAAAGGATTCCCAGGGGGAGGAAAGAATATTAGAGATTACAGTTTGTTCACAAGTACTTTTTACCTAAAAGAAAAAAAGCTACCTCTGTCACAAATGCAGATTAAGTAGCATGTTTGTTTTAAATTACAGAAGCTTGGCATTTTTAAAAGCCGACTCCATATTAAGCTATAACTGATTAAAAAACCTGGTGCAGAAATAGTACAATGAGCAGGAAACCTTCGCCATTCAGGGGAAGGCAGTGAAGAGAAGAAAGAAAAAAAGAAATATCCAAAAGTAAGAAAGCTGCATTTTGTGACCATTGAGGGAGCAAGATGGGGGCGGTGAAGTTTAAGGAAAAAATAAGCACCAGCAGTGCCAGAGAGAGCTCTAAAAATTTAAAGCATTGCTGGGTGGATGCACACTACAAAGACTGACTACAACAACCATAAACGAGGTTCTGAACATGACCTAAGAAAATTTAGCCAATATCGTTTCCAAGTCGTTTTCTCAAAAATTACTGTAGTGATTATAAATTTTAATTTGATCAACAAGTAGTAATTTAATAGTTGTCTGCACCCACCTATAAACAAAAAAGATAATTTACTGATAGATGACGTTTGTACATAAAAGCAACACATTAGGCGGACGAAGAAAAAGTGACAGAGCAGATTATACCATGGTAACGTATGTCTGCCACTGCTGGAGTTTGTTTATAGGCCGATTTCAGAGGAGATTGATTGATACAAAATTTTTTAAAAAGGAGAGATGAGGGAGATACAAAAATTATTTCAAAAACTCCAGCAGTCAGTTAAGTTTAGCTTATGCACAAGACAGGAAAGAAAACCAAATTAAAATTTAGCTTTCCTTTTAAATTTTAACAATGAATGCATTATTTTAGTCGGTCATAGGGACAAGGAAAGAATAGGAAGAAGCTAAAAGCAAGTAGGCTTTCGAAACTAACAGAAAAAACACCACCACATTATGCACATTGCAATTTTGAGAAGTGAAAATGAAGCGGTACACAGGATAGATGCCTATAAACTTACAAAATTTAAATAAATCAAACTGCATAGAATATAGCAAAGATTATAAAAGACTGTAGCAGACTGGAAAAAAACAAAATTAAAAACTGCTACTTAAGATTCAATGCTGACGTGAATTCAAATAGGCATAAAAAGGATATTAACATGGTTTTTACAGGATCAACATACATTTTGGATATTGAAGGCTCAAGCTAAAATATTTATAATAGGCATGTTTAAATACAGTGAGTTGACAGAGGCAGGATTAATGTTTAACGTTCTTCTTGTTTGACCTGAAGTCAGGCATTGAGAGGGAGGAGCTTAGGGACATACCGCTCAGGCCCACTGCTGTCTGGGACTGACACACTGGCATTGTACTGGGCGTGGCATGGGCAGGGGCCAGGGCCATTCGAGCACAGATGTCAATCAAGTAAGGCACCCGTTTAGGGACAGGGCACGGTTATGGACAGGGCCAACCAGGGTGTCAGGTGGGCGGGCGCAGGAGGGGCCATCCAGAACATGGGCAACAGAGGAGGATGTGGGCAAAAAAAGTAAAGAGTAAAAATAATAAACAAGGGAGAGGGAAGAGGAATACATTTTTAATATACAGGCTCTAGACTGTTGAAATGTGACTTTACTTTGATTCTCTCAGAGATTGATTTGTCAAAGAGAGAAGAAGAGAAACGGTGACACTGGAAAATGGGTAATGGCATATTAAGAACACGAAGCGATCAGTGTTGGGGAATAAACCAGAGACAGTGAGAAGGGAAAAACAAACTAAAGGACTAAAAAGGAGGCAATGACATTAAATAAATTATTGGCCAGTTTTCTGACATAAAAAACGTTAACTTTGCTAAATGCCTGTCTATTTTAAAGTAACAGGAGTATCAGTGTCGCCACAACAGCTGTGTCACTATCAATTGTAAAATAGAAACAAATGGGACACAAAATTGGACTGCTGTGCTTTTAGCAATTTTAGCTGACAAAATGACACGAGGATAAAAAGATCAAAACAGCCACAAGGAATTTCTGACAAGATCTAACGAGATGAAGGTTAATTATCAAAGCATCAGCTAAGCAGTTCGTTTAAAATGACTAAAATAATACTCGAAACTGATTTTAAAAGTTACTGCGAGGAATATATATAAAATAAAAATTGCTGCTTATTAATAATTGAAAAATGGGCCTGAGAAGTCAGCGAGGAGAAAAATATAGAAAATTCAAGAATAAAATAAAAATACACCGGTACTAACATCTGAACGAAGAGCTTTGATGTTTTTGCCACCCTTCCCAATCACAGCTCCTGCATTCTGCACAAAAAATACAAATACAAATAAAAGGCTGCACACAAAAGCAGAAAATGTAAATCCAGGCACTTCAAAAACTAAACAAAACGTAGAATATTAGAATAGGGAGAAAGAACAACGCTGGTTTAATTAAAAAGGTAATCAGGAGTAAGATTAAATAATTTTAAAAGGCTGAAATGTAATGAAAACAACGTAAAAATTATTATAAAATAGTGACTTCTGAGATTGGCAGTCTTGTTGGAAGAACAAAATGACAAAAATTGAGAAAAAAGCAAACAATCACAGAAATTAAAACAGGAGGTGTGATATAAAAAACGAGTTAATTTACTTTGCTCTGCAGGAGAACACGGAGCTCAACCATTTCATCTGAGTTTCTGGAGCGCTTGAATGATTTCTGCTCATCTGCATCCTCAGCAGGGCGCTTACCTGGAGTAGGAGATAAAGAAAACATCTTGATGACTTTGTGCAAAGAGACATAAAAAAAAAAAGGTAATAAAAACAAACAAACAAAAAACACTATGAATCATTAACAAGTGTTACATTTCTAAACTGTCCAAACATGATTTGCATAATATGTATGACTTGCTCACCACTTATTAAGCAAAACATCTATTAACATCTCTATAAACAGAAATAATTTGACTAAAATATATATTTTTAAAAGAACGTTGGTCATTTAGTTCTGCATGAACGTGAAAAACATGAACATTAAAGCTGTTAGTTTGTAGCTTTCAAAGCAAAGTCAAACATCTTTAAAAAATTTGACATTTTTTTACAAACACACAATGCAAACAAGTTCATGTTTTTACCATTAGTCTCTGTGGTGCTGCTGAAGGAACTGTCTTCTTGCTGATCAATTTCTGTCTCCATGGTCTTCTGTTAAAGAAAAGAACAAAGTGTGCACCTTGATCTGGGATGCAGGTAATCAGAACAAGGAGAGAGAAGCAGAAAATCAGCTCCTGCAAGCTGTTGCAGTCTAATGGCATGTTAAGGACGTTTTGTTTAAAAGCCTGTTGGAGCTGTTTGACGTTAGTCTGTAAAAGAATCAGCAATGGATTAAAGCAACTGTCAAGACATCCGGACTTACCGATATTTATTAGACACAAGGGCGTGTTGATAGGCGGATCTAGTTGAAGAAGGACCAAACAGATCTTAGGACCTGTTAGGGAGAGAGAGATTTCTTTAAGTGTTGATCACAAAAACGATCAAACATCGACTACACGCATTTATTTGTTTCTGGTAATAAAACTGCAACATTAATCCGCGAGTTAAATAATAACTGGTTAAGTCTTATGAACAGCAAACGATGAATATTGTCTTTTTGACAAAGCACAGCGGTCAGTGAGATCGGCTGCGAAAGCCGAAGATTTGACCAGTACAACACTTCGGCCATTAGATTTAATCAGTCCGCGACAATCGACACATGACGGATACTAGGAAGAGCTAAACGTTTCATTTATCCGAAATTATTGAAAACTAAGTTCAGAATATATTTTGAAAGCCTTACAGTCATAAATAACAGCTGGCTAGTTAAATAATGCCGCTGACCAGGCAGAAAGATTTGCTTCATAAAGCTAATTTGGCGGCCGTTAGCCTACGTTAGCAACATGTTAGCAACCTAGCTTCGAGAGTAAATGATTTCATCAAGTGTCGGCAGAACTAGTCTCAAAAGAATGTTACATAAGATATAATGTATTGTGTCAAGTCAAATGCCTATTGTGGTGATCTAAATAAAACATTATTTTACCCAATTACGAGTTCAAGCTAGAGGCTAGCTACTTTCGCCATGTTGTCCAAGGTGGTATGGCTGAGCATAATGAAACTGGCCAGGCCTACTAGTTGAAAAACGTTGTAAAGAGAGTAAACAACTTAGCGATTAAGTAAAATACGTAAAGAGTGTATTTATATTTGGCTGCACCGACACACATCATATACACACGAATAATCGTGGTTAAAAAATAGGGAAATAACCGTCAGAAACCACAAACCTGCAGCGTAACTACCCGTTCGTCGCTGTCCTTCTCTTCCGAAACTGGTAACGCACGAGCCAAACGACTGCGCATTCATTGGCTGGGAGAAAAGCAAATCAACCCTATGCCAGTAACAATTGGCTGAAAGTAATGTCACTCAAATAAATAAGGCGTTTCCAACGTGACGAGACGCTCCCTGTTTCCGGATGAGTGTCACTGTTCGTTTTAGTGGCATTTCTAGATTTTCCAGTTGCGGGAAAAGGCTTATGTATTGATTTCTTTTAGTAATTGTCCCGTACGGTTGTTTGGTTTTTAGTCTTAATGTTCTATTCAAGAGGTTCTGTAGTTGTGGACACGAAACAACGGTGCCATAGCGCCGTTATTGTTGCTCATCGAGTACCTGTTTTGGCGCCTTTACCGTCCTAGCACACTTTATATGGAGGAGGCTTCCACGGTAACCTCTTTTACAACACTTACTTAATCACAGACTCTTTTTTTTTGTTCCTTGACTCTTGTAAATCACTGCCTTACTTTTTGACTTACTGTCTTTACCTCTCTTCCACGAGCCTTTTCAGTACACTTATCCTTAAAGTAATTTGCATACACTCAACAGCATCTGTATCATATAACTGTATGTGTATATAAATAAATATGTGTATACCAATATGACCAGTAAGTGACCAATACACACAAATATTTGTTCAAAGCATGTAATGAGTAGTTTAACTGATTAATGGTTAATTAACTGATTAATCAACAATTTCACTGCAGTTTCAGAACAGAAGTTCCAGTTGTGTTGCCTGCATATTTCAGCAGATGAAAGCAAGAACAGTAATAAGACAGAAGTGTTCAATGCACCTAGGAGGAGGATGCCGCAAGAGATTCACTCAGTTGTACGTGCTACCCAAGCCTGGCTTCGTTCCACTTGGCATGTCCAGGTGCCCTTTGCCTGGCTCCAAGCCTGTGTCGAGTGGCTTCAAGCAGAGGCTGGAGGAGCAGATCATCTGGCCCAGCAGCAGATCAGTCAACAGGTTAATACAATGCGTTTTTAGCTCAAGTAATCATGCTATTTGTCTACCAATTGTTTTATACCAACCCCCCCACCTTCACTGGAGCTACAGAAAATTCTAATGTTGTTGAGTTCTGCATGAATATGCAGCATACTGAAAACTAAACCTTTGTTCAAACAACAAAAGTTCAAGAATATGCTTATTTCTTTCCCTGCATTTGTGAATAAATCGCACAGTAGTAGGTAATGATCAGCAAATATGTGAACGTGAAAAAAGGAAGCACCCCTCCTGGGCTTAAAAATCCAGGTTTCTATTGCAACATGTGCAAAGCAGAGAACATGTTTAGTGTAAACAGCATGAATTCATCATGCCCAGCATCAGCTGGACCAGCTGGTGGCGGCGTCATGTGGGGTATGTTTTCTTCCACTGACGCATTTTTCATACGCCACACTGAAATATTGCTACTAAACAGCTGTGTCCTTCCATGACCAAAGTTTAGTTTTCCCCAAACAGATATTTGAGGGTATTGCTTCATGATTTTAGGGGACGTATCATCTTATGTTTCTAGGACGGCCGTGTTATTATTTTATTCAAGTATCCCACGTCGTGCCCAGATCTGTCCAATTAGACTAGAGCGTTTTTTCAAAATGACGTAGATAAGTGTATTAAATATGATTATTAAGAGATGAATAATGGGGGACTTGATGAGACAACTGAAAGTCAGTGTGCCTCAAACTCCCTGTGCCGATTCTTTTTTCTTTGGACTAATTAATACTTCTCTGCATCATGGGTTTTGTTTTAGTGTTTATTTTAACTACTGTTGACAAGTTGTGGTGTTATAGATAGTGATTCACGTCACACTAAAGATCACGTCATTTAATTTACATTATGGAGTTTAAATGACAGAACTTCCTACGGCCTTGAAAGTCACAGACCTTTATGTTTGGTATAAAATTTTAGGTTCTGGATCAGTGGCTTCTCACGGATCTGAGAGATCTGGACTACCCAGTTCTTCCTGAAGGGCTTGCTCAGGCCCAGAAGACAATACTCAGTGGTACCTTTTGTGTCCAGGTAAAATGGTTAATTTTATTTTATATTCACGTTCTCATTTTTTAAAACATATTTCCATCAGATATTAAAGGTAGCAATAATAAAAAAAAAACTGTAATATGCATGAAATATGTGGCAAACTGCACAAAAAATAAATCACATTTTTAAGTATGCTCAGTATTACTGGTATTTATAAGTCTTGGTACAAATTGTATGCATTCTTTAATGCAAATATAAATTACTGCACATAGAATATTTTGCTTTATGCAGAAGAAATGACTGTAAATTAAATTTAAACCAAAACCAAAGGTCTTTGTTTTAGGTTGACTCATTGTTGGACATCAGTCAGCCTGCAAATGGACAGCTGCAGAAGTGGAGGGGCACAGACTGCAGCAATGACGAGGTTTCTGCTGTCACACAGACGACTCAGAGGCCCTGGGAGGCCAGATCTGCACGTATGCTGCTACTGCAGGTCAGAATTTCATTTTCATAGGTTTATCCATTTTGGTGTCACTGGAAACAAGGGCTATAGATTCTTAGGTGTTTCCCCAGGAACAACAGCTAAATGCAGCGTAATAAATTAGATACGTTTAGAGAAGAGGCTTGTGAAGTTTTGCAGCTAAACAATAAAACCTAACCCTGTGTAGTTTTGAGAAACTTTTAGTGTATGGATGTTTTCTCAGCTAAATGCAGCAATTTATTTTTAGAGTCTAACAAAGTTAAGTCAGGTCCTCAAATCTAACTTTGTTAGATTTTTCTACCTGGATAATTGAGCATGCATCAGGTTATTTTTACAGTGTTTTAAAATGATAAATGTTCAGAATTTCATTGCTTTTTTTTTCATCTTTTTTTTTAAATCTTTGTTTCTGTATTACAGATAACAGATGGGGTTCAGAGTTTGGAGGCCATGGAGTATCAATCCATCCCTGCGCTCAGTGCAACACTCAGGTTAAGACTGAGCTTTTTTTCCCATTTTAAAAGCATCTAGGCTTCTGTTCTTTTTTTCCCAAAATAAGTGGATTTTGTATCGCTTGGGAATTTTCTAATGAAGTGTTTGATTTTCCTAGACCTGGTGCAAAGCTGCAGCTGCAAGGACAGATGGTTTGCAGACTTGGTGTGCTGCTGTTGGGTCCAGTGAATGTCAAGATTCTAGGTGGTGAGGTGGAAGACTTGGTCGAAAGAAATAATCAGGTGAACTATTGTTTTTTTTATTTTTCAGCATGTACTGAGGGACAATTTTAATCCAGCTCTATTTTTTGGTACTTTACTTACAAGAAGCCAGACTTCCATGTAATCTCTTACATGAATAATATTGAATAAGAAGCAATGTTGTCTACAAAATAGTTCATTGGTTGGTTTCTATACTTGAACAGGGCAGGATTCTCTGTCGGACCCTGGGTCTTCCTGAAGAGGAGGCCCGAACGCCACAACAAGGTACTTTATGTTCACAGGAGTTTTTAAGTTTTTTCAAGTAAATTAATTGCTGTACAAGTCGCATATTATCTGAAATATGTGGTTTTTAAATATAGTAATTAACTACAACAGAGTGAGTGATTGGATTTTTTAATGATTATTTTAAACATTTGTAATAATAAAAAATAATTTATTTTGATGCTATTTTCCATTTAAGGCAACCAGGAATTGGAGAACCTGGAGGTAGGTGACGAAGAGCTGATGGCCAGTCTGGAGGATCTAGGCGAGGTCGAAATGCTTCAGGTTGGACCGACTCGGGACAGCGGCTATGAGAGCCTGCAGGAGCCCTCAACTCAGGCTTCGAGAAGCTTATTTGGTAGCAACATTGTCTCGTTCAGGTCAGTGCTTAGAAAAATACTGTCCTCATTTTGAGTTTGTCCCAACAATATGGTGTGTGTGTGTGTGTGTGTGTGTGTGTGTGTGTGAGAGTGTGTGTGTGTGTATATAATATATAGATACTGTAACTGTATGCTTGTGCAATAATTCTAAGTCCTGTATTATTTTCTTTGAAAGATCTTTAATCAATTTTTATGCACATTTGGTGACACAACTTTTGCCTTGAACATGCACCAATGTATAGCGAGCAGTGCGGTATTAGATAAATGAATGTTTATCAGCTTCATCATTATAGGGTTAACCTAAATTTTCATCTTATTTGACATTCCTTAGTGACATTGAGCCCATTGATCCTGCTGGTTTTGTCTTTCAGAAGTGAAGCTTCCACCTCCTCACACAGAAGTGGTTTGACTCAAAGTAACAGAGTTGGTTCAGTCGAAGTTCATCCCAGTGGTGGCAGACAACAAGACTCTAAACCTGTTGAGTTTATCCATTCTGATCCAGTTCATCAAAACAGACAAGAGGACAACCTGTTAGGGGACGAATTTACCGATGGAGACTTTGATGATCTTCCCCTGGATGAGTTAGACAGCATTATTTTACAGGAAAGTATTAGCACACACTCTGATAGCAAAGATACAACAAGAAATTCCAGCTTTACGAAAGAAACAATAAAACCTCAGACTGCTCAGTTTGAACCACGTTCTTTAAGCTATTCAAGGACATTCAAAGGATCTGGCCACTCCAGATCAACCACAGAAAAAACTGACCCTCAAGGCCCCATCAGCGAAGCATCTGGCCTGTCAAAATCAGCAACGTCAAAGCCTTTTCTTTCCTCAACAGCTTCTGAGCCATCCCATAAATTACAGTTTGTTAGTAATGAGGAGAATGATTTTGTGGATGAGAGCATGGACCTCTATTTTCAGGAGGTTGAGGACAGTGCAGCACTGCCTGGGAGGATTGGAGGAACAAGTCTGTTCCCTCCTAAAGAACAATCTAACAGTACAGACGTCTCTCGTTTGGTCAGCAAATTAACTAAAACCAACACACCTCAAAGAAAAACTGACGATGTAATGAGCGCAGAGCATAGCGGAGTATCTTCACAGAGCGACAGCAACACCCTGGCAGTCACTCTGACCTCTGCACCCTTTACGTACTTGCGCTTGCTAGAAGAGCTGATGGTTAAACCCCAACCCCACACCATTGAAATTCAGGTCAAGGCTTTCATTGTGACTCTCCTGGGGAAACTGAGCAGCAGTAATGGCGTTTGGAGTGTCTGCGCTACAATATCTGATGGAACTGGTTACCTGGATGTGGAGTTATCCAACGAGGTTTTGACTCGCCTGCTGGGGTTCTCTGTTTCAGAGAAGGCGGCTCTGAAGCGCGACTCAGCCCGCAGAGGTGAGCTGGACTCTGGGATGAGGAGGTGTCAGGAAGAGTTGGTGGACATGTGCTGCATCATGACGATTTTTGTGAAGCCAGATAAACGGGGAGCTGTAGTGGCTAAGGCTGAACCTGTCAGTGAGAGAGTGTTCCAGGAGCTGGAGCAGAGGGTGAAAGATGGGAGGAAATGAACCCAAATTGGAAAATTACCTGTAATGGAAAAGTATTTTTACCCTTAAGCAGAAATAAAAACATGCCAATAAAAATGTGATCATAATTGATGATCAATCTGTCTTTCTGTTTCAGTTTTAGAGAGCAGAAGGTGTGAACTGGAGGTCTGATGGTTTTGTGTTGCAATGCATCCCATCTTCTACATGCCATTCTGCTTTTTGGCATTACTGTAAAGGAATTAATTAATGTGTTGTGCTCTTAGAGGGTTGAAATCCACTGCATCAGTAGCAATTTACACAGAAGCAAATATGTAGCTAAATATTAATATAAAATAAATATCCATTTCAAACATATTCAGTCAACCCAGAGTTAGAAAACATTCTTTGCAACATTGGACACTACAGAGTTGAGTAGAGAGGATGGGATGGGGTCTTCATATTCAGATTGTAGTAATGAATTGCCAGTTTTTGCATCTGTTCAGCACAACCATTCCTTTTTACCGGACAGTGATTGAAAGGCAGCATGTGTCTTTAATAAACTTCACCAGAGGAGAATTAAACGAAAGGAAGATAAATGAGACGCCGCAATCTTTGATTTAATTTTTATTTTTTTTTTATGAAACTCATGTTTTGGTTCTAAATTTATTCGTTTGTGTGTTGTTTTTTTAAATTGAAATAAAAATTCTCAGGTTTTTATTTTATCTTGTTTATCGCTGTTTTTTTTCCCAGCTGAGGTTGTCGTAATCTATCGGCAACACAAGAAAATGTGTGTAACTTTTTGTCAGAACCCCACTTCTAATAATCTGGACTAATTAGTACAAATCCTGTTAATTCAGCTGATGGGATCCTATATCTTTATACAAAACATTTTAAAATAAAGTCCCCTTTAGACAAGCCACAGCATTTCATGGATGTAGGGTCTCACTCTGAGCTTTGTAAAGCTCAATCAATGCGCCGCTTGTTAAAAGATTCTGGTCGCTATGGTTACTTATATTAACAAATGTTAAAAAAAAGTGCCTGGTTGTATCATCCAGGCAGCATTCAAACAAGCATGTAAAATAAAAATAAAAACATTAAGGAAGTCTAAATATTTCATAAATGACAGTAACATTATGCAGCTAGTGTGCTGCAGAGGCGACTGTTGCACAGATAATAGTCACTGAGATTGTCCGCACGGTCGCTAATATATGATCTTTTAGCTCTGCAGGGTGGCGGAAATTTCCTTTCAAGACAAAATATCTCATCCTTGCATATTTTTTTTTCTCCCATTATCCAGTATATTTGTTGCTTACACTGCAGTGAATTGGTGTAATGATGAGCAGAACTCTGCCTACTGAAGGTCATACGCATCTAGGCTGCATACAGTACGGTTGTATTTGAGTGTTTACATTTCTCTTTCTGCTCCGCGTTAGTTACCTTATAGCACAGTGTGTGCTTCCATTCAGGTAACCGCTCTCAGCTCGTTAGGAACTAATCAAGTTGAACGTCTAAATTAGGACCCTGCCATGCATGTTGATAAGCTGTTATGCGCTAATGAAGCAGAATATGGTGAATGGGCTGGACAAGTACTGTGAAGGCTGAAACCCATAGGGAGATACAAGTGGAATAAATATTGGGTGATAGAGTAAATATAATGAATTGGGGGGGAGGTATTTCTGTCCTCTCAATACAAAATATTATCCCACACTTTCAGATTACTTTAAAATTAGGGGAGGAAATGGTTTTGTTGCGCTGCAGTAAAAAATATTTGACAAAATACATGTTACTTTATTTACATTCTGTTCATTTAGTGTTAACATGCTGTCAGGTTGCAGGGTAAACTAAAATAAAAAGACTACTAGCAATGTTTTTCTTGTATGGACCAACAACTGGAGAAAAGAATAAAATTCTCCTGTCACTTTGCAAAATTTGAATTTATGTTTAGCAACCATTTGTTTCTCTGAACTTTTATTTTGTATGTATCTGTTAATATAAATTATATTGACTGTAACAAAAATTCAATTGTCTTTTGAAAACGGTAATTTTTTTATAGTTATAATTTTTTAAAAATAAGCTTTTTATGTTTTCTGTATAGACCTTTGTTAGTCCAGAGTTTTCAGAAGCTGAGAAAAACATGGTTAGAAATGTATTTTCACAATTTTTTTCTCAAGATAAATTTAAATATTTATTGTTTATTTCATCTTAGAAAAGCTTAACTATTACAAAATTACAGGTAAACCGACAGGGTACTTCAGAAATCAGGACGTCATGCTGGCAACTGACTCGAGATGAAAATATTTTTGTTTTTGTAGTCAACAAAACTTAATATAAAAGTTCAGATGAACAGCATTTCCTTTTCTAAAAAAAACCTTTCATTAGTTGAAACACAACCAACCACTTTAAAATATATCATTCTAACAATACTGAAATAAGTGTTTTTGTTACAAGTAAAATCCAAAAATCTGATGTGATGATCAGACAGTGCATATATAGAATTTGCAAATTATCCACCAAAAACACATTACATGTAAACATCTATTAATATATTCTTTAAAAGATTGCATAGAAACATGTTTTTTTTTTTTTTTTTTAAGTGTCCCAAGATCTATTTTTGTTTTATAGGAGGGAAATGTGTCAGGAGACAGAGGGAGAAGAGGAAAGTCAAAAATTTAGGACTGAGGGTTGCAACTCTAAATGTGAGAACAATGATAGACAAAGGTAGAGAGCTGGCTGGTATGATGCTGAGAAGGAAGGTAGATGTTTTATGTGTTCAACCGTTCAAGTGAAAGGGCAGCAAGGCTCACAGCATTGGGGCAGGGTTTAAACTGTTTTACCATGGTGTGGATAGAAAAAGAAATGGTGTGTGTGTGTGGGGGGGTGGGGGTGGGGGGTCCTGAAGGAGGAGTTGACAAAGAATGTAGTAGAGGTGAAAAGAGTGTCAGACAGGATGATGTGCCTGAAGGTAGAAGTAGAAGGTCTAACGCTAAATGTTGTCAGTGGTTATGCTCCCCACGTTGGATGTGACATTGAGGAGAAAGATAAATTTTGGAAGGATCTGGATGAAGTGATAGAGTACTCCCAGGGTGGAGAGTGTGGTGACCGGAGCAGACCTGAATGGACATGTTGGTGAAGGAAACAGAGGAGATGAGGACATGATGGGTAGTTTTGGTATTAAGGAAAGAAACCAGGAAGGAGAGATGGTGGGTTTTGCCAAGAGAATGGAAATGGCTGTAGTCAATACTAATTTCCAAAAGAGGGAGGAACATAAAGTGACCTGTAAGAGTGGAGGAGGAAGTACGCAGGTCGACTACACTCTGTGTAGAAGAGAAAACCTAAGGGGAATTGGGGACTGTAAGATTGTGGAAGGGGAGAGCGTGGCCAGACAACATTGGATGGCTGTGTGTAGAATTTTTGTGTAGAATTATTTAATTTCCCTCTGGGATTAATAAAGTATTTTTGAATTGAATTGAATTGAATTGAATTGAATGACTGTTGTGAAGAAGAGAGAAAAATAATAAAATTAGAAAAGAAAACCAAATGGGGGAAGCTGAACAAGGAAGAATGTTGTAATAAATTCAGAGAGGAGCTGTTGCAGGCTCTGGGTGGTAAGAAAAAGCTTCCAGATGACTGGGCTACTACAGCAACAGTAATTAGAAAGACAGGTAAGAAGATACTTGGTGTGTCATCTGGACAGAAAAAAGATGACAAGGAAACCTGGTGGTGGAATAGTGAAGTGCAGGAAGATATTCAAAGAAAGAGGTTAGTCAAGAAGAAATGAAAGAGAGGATTAAAGAGGTTAGACAGGAATACTGTGTAAGTACATGCAGCGTAGAGCAAAGGGAGGTAGCTAAGGCAAAGCAGAAAACGTATGATGAGTTTTATGGGAGGCTGGACACTAAAAAGGGCAAGAAGGACTTGCACTGATTGGCGAAACAGGGATCAGGCTGGAAAGGATGTGCAGCAGGTTAGGCTTGTTAAAGTATGGTAATGTTCTAACAAGTGAGGAGAGTGTGATTGGAAGGTGGAAGGATTACTTTGAGGAGCTAATGAATGAAGAGAATGAAAGAGAAAGATGAGTTGAGGTCATTGAAACTGTGGACCAGGAAGTGGGAAAGATAAATGAGAGTGAAGTTTTGAAAGCTCTGAAAAGAATGAAGAAAAGCAAAGGTCAAAGGAAAACTTTACAAGCCAGTGGTGAGACCAGCTATGTTATATAGAGACAGTGGCATTGACAAAAGACAGGAGAAAGAACTGGAAGTAGCATAAATGATGATATCAAGGTTGTCTTTAAGAGTGACAAGAATGGATAAGATTAGGAATGATCAGAGGTACAGCACAGATTGAACAACTGGGAGATAAAGTTAGAGAGACTGAGATGGTTTGGACATGTCCAGAGGAGGGACAGTGGGTATATTGGTAGAAGGATGTTAAAATGCACCTGCCAGGAAAAAGACCAAGAGGAAGGCCAAAAAGGAGATATATTTCTCTGTCTCTGGTCACCTCAGTTATGGTTGTGACTATGCAGCAAGTGAACTAACAGGGATGCGCAGACCTGACATACAAAAAAATACCCATCCATGATTTCACATTTTTAAAGTGAATGTATTGTACAGAGGATCAGTTCTCACCTATGAATCAAACAACCTATGCTCAAATCCCATCCCAGTCATGTGAAGCATTGAATAAGTTGGAGAAATGATGTGCTTGAAATAAAATTCTACATTTTAAAATATTAACATTATTAATCATATTAGTATTTTGTCTTCCACCAGTTTTGAACAACCCTGATTACTTCATCCTATTGTATCCATTTAAATTTCTAATTGTTCATGGCCGTCAGGAGATGATGCTAAGACTTTCTTGTGCAACTTCTGTATGGAGGAACATTGGTTGCAAATGCTTTTAGGCTAAAATTTAAGCTGTTTGAATACTTTGGCCGAGGCATGCTCATAAGCATCAGGCATTGGCATCATGCATTTCAGTGCACACTTGTTAATTTTTTATTTTTTGCAAAATATATATTTTTTCTAATTTTATTTTCCCTATTACATTCAGT